TGAAAATGATAGAGCCAACAAAAGCTGTTGCAACGACCCAAACGGATCCTAGCGAAATCGAAGCACTTAGTGTTGGAGCCAGTTCACCATTGACGTGAGCACATATTATCAAATCATAGAACAATCATTGACAAAAGCTAGAGCGTTTAGGTCCAGTACTTCCCTGGAGCCAAATAATGTGATGTCGGTTGCCGTTGATCCACCATCTACAGCTGGGCGACAACCAGCATGGGCTTCAGCAGGGATAACTCAAACTGAGAATGCTTTCTGGCATAGGCACAAGAATGTTGCTGAGATGGTGATCAAAGCTAACAAGTGAGAACTATTATTTCATACCATTGTCGAGATTTGTTAATAGAAATCCATGTTTGTTTTTAGGACCGTGTCAGAGTTCCTCAGCCAGCTGTCAAGATCATGCTTTGCTCCTACGAGACGTAATCGTCGTTACGATTTCTCTGCAGCGACTATGCCAAAAGCAGCTCAACAAATGGCAGATGAGATTTTTGCTGGTTTCTTCCGGGACTTAAAATGGAGCTGTCACAAACTTCCTGAGGGCTCTCCCACACCCCCCATGGAGTAAGTTTACTGATGTTTCTTGGAGCGAGGAACTGAATGTGCGTTCTCTAGGTTTGGCCGACTTCAAGAAGTGATAGCACAAATGTCCGTTGCGCTTTTTGATGATCGTCGTCAGCCATTCCATGCCATGCTACAGCGATTTTATACTTCCGGTTGTCATAATGCATTTTGCGATCTGATGGTTGAAAAGCTTGCACCTGCGCTTAATAACGAATACAACGGTATCACTATTAATATGTTGTATTTTTTTAAAATATGAATCATATGAGTTTAGATTGGTTGGAGTTGGCTTTTCTTGAGTGGTTCCGCCTTGCAAGCCGATTAGCAAATAAGCAGAACATGCTTCATACCCTTTATCGCCAACCACAGCCTCTAACCGTGGAATTTGATCCGAAAAAATACCTAAAATTAGTCCACAATGTAGGTTTTTCTTGTTATATTCATCTATCTTTATCACTTCGTATCTAATTGACAGCCGTTGTATTAAATTTTCATGCCAAGGGTTATTTAGGATTTCTTCCGCGCCTTTTGTGTACTATTTGCGAAGCTCTCTGACGAGAAAGTTGATTTGAAATGTTGCCAAACACTATGTGAAACAGCCATATCTGTGTACAAAGACGTAAGGATCGTTTTTAAAATCTTCTGATTTAATCACGTGCAAAGCTCCCAACTTTTTCGTTTTCGGCTCAGGTTGCGCACAGTCTCACTCCGGCCACGGAGGAAAATCCGCGTTCTCAAAATGATGAAAATGGCGATGCAAGGACACCAGCTGCTGATGG